TCAAGACAACATAGCAATAGTTATTATAAAATTCCTTCATACTTCACAAGACCTACATGTTTGCTATAATGAAAATCTTATCATAGAAAATGCTCTACTCAAAGTTAGTAGAAAGAGCTCTGAAATTCTTCTGATTTTGAGGACTGCCCAATGACTCTTGCTCAATTACACTGAGTTAACTTTTTAAAAACAGACAAAAATAAACAACTCCCAAAATAATGGCTACTAGGGTATCCACCTGTGGGTGCCTCAAACACCTTTCAGGTTATTTCTCTGGATTCCTCTCTCCTCTCCCTATAAATCACATCCTTCTAGACCTCATTTGGCTAGAGCCACGATTGCCCCTCAGGCACATAAATCAAAGATGATAACCATTCTTCATTCTCCTTTACTCCATTTCTGATCAACCACCAATTCCTGTTGGTTTTATCTTCCAAATATTTATCACTATTCCCTTCTTTCTATTTCTCCTAACTCTATCCTAGTTCATGCTGATGTTTGAGGATACAAAGTAGGACTGTCTGGGAGCTCTTTCTGGATTGCATGGCAAAGGCCCCACTGGGCCAGACCCACCATCACATCCATCCCAGCAACAGAGGCTGTATCTGAACTCAGCTCCCAACAGCTCTCAAGGTTGCCTTTTCTGAACAAGAGCTACAATTTCTTGTAGCATCTGAAGACCATAGGTTCTGTGCTTTCCAAACAACCCTGCAAATAGTCAATACTAAAATCGACTGCTTAACACCAAAGAAGGCATTTTATCCCTAGTCCTAGGGCCACTCCCACAATTGGCCTATAAAAAAATAGCGAGGAACTGAAGGATCCTAGTTGTTTTGGGAGATTTCCTGAGCTGGAGCAGAGAATTAGTATACAGCCCACTGAGCCTGGGGTCCACAGTCTCTCTCTGCAGAATGTGATGGACTCTGCTCACCTTGCACCTGTGATTTCAAACACAGCATGAAATGCCATTATGTTTGTTCCTCTCACTTCTTCCCAGACTGCTTTCTACAAATCTCTCATCCATTCTACGCATAAATAGTACTACCAAAAACACAGATCAGATCAATTACTCCCTGCCTAAAACTTTCCTCTGTAGAATAAGGTCCAAATTCTTCATCATAGTAAACAAGACCCTGAGCATTCTAGCTCTAACTTTACACACTCATTTTCAGACACACACAAACACCTGCACTATCCTCCATGCTCTCCACCACTCTAGAAAACACCATCTGTACTTGTAACACAGCTTCCCAGAAATAATCAGTCCCACACTGCCATCCTGTAACACAAACTGATATAGAAGTCAAATGCTCTCTCCTGCAGGAAGCCTGCCTTAAGTCTCCCTTGGATATTTGGCCCCTGTCTCCTCGTTCCTCACAACAAGACAACTGCATTACCTCCTTCTCCAGACTGAATTCAGAGACTAATCCTTGCTGAACTCTGTTGCCCTTCACCCAGCATAGGGTCTGGCACATAGTAGGTACTCCAAATGCTTGTCAAATAAATAAACAAATGCAAAAATACATAATAACTCCTAAGTGCAGTGTCCAAGAGCTTATTTGCCTTACGACCCTCACATAGTCAATTTTTTCAACCATCTCCAGTCTACTACTATTTGCTCTTGAAAGGGTTTCACTGAGGATGAATTTGGAAGTCTCTCTACTCTGCTTCTCTGTATTTTTTCACATGTAAAGTTGCCTAAAGCAAAATTACAATGGATAATGCAGAATCTTTATTGAAAAATTCACCTGAAGCTTAGTTCAGCTCTCAAAGTTCACTTTCCTTAAAGCGCACTTCAAACAGGAATATAAATGTTTTATATGATGACAAACATCAAATTAATATTAATGGTAATAACAATAATAATTTCCCTTTAAGTAATTGATTGATGTCAAGAAATAGCTAAACCAGTTGACATGTACTCAGAATTTTATATTTTTCATCAGAAAAAACAATTCACTACCAATGACAAATAACAGTAGGGCTACTAAAACTACCTGTCATGCATCTAACGAAGACAGATTCTCTGGCTACCACATGTAAAATGTAATATCCAAAAGTGCCGCTGTAATTCACAGCTAATTAGTGTCTTGCCATTATGAGAGGTGTCACGGCCCTAACACTCTTTTCTGATCTAGTCAGACCTCACCAGAGCCTACAGGCATGCAAGGATCACAACAACCCAATTAGCACCTACCCCAACCTTGGGCTGCTGCTTCTCTGAGCCACCCCAGCATCAATAAATCATGCTTTCTCATGAAGCTCTTCTCTGACAGCTGCAAGCCACTGCTGCCCAAGGAATAAAGACAATACTTCTAAGGAAAACTCATGTGGGAAAGACAGATAGAAAAGGGATATTATTTGCTTTCTTTTAGCAGCACAGCAGTGAGCAAAATTGAAGACCATCAATTCTGACTGATTAAGGAGACAACTGCACTAAGAAATAAATCCGTGAGTGGTACATCTGAAGATCCTTAGTGATAATCAACAGTCAGCAATTGGATTGTTTGTTTGTTTATTTAATGTAGATATATTGAAGACATTTTTTCCTGTAAATCCTTCCATCTGCCTAATAAGAAAATTTTCTTTTCAATAGCACATAATAGATTGCATTTACTTCAACCCTCAGTGAATACACAGCAATCAGATAATTTGTTTGAAAGACTCTAAATTATTTGACTTCATTGAAAAAGAATCTATAATGATATGCTAGTCTCCAAGCAAGGCCGACAAAGCTACGTAAATCCATAAGCAAGCTATAGAGTATTCACAGCACAAAGCAGCCAATATCCTTGTCATTTTGTTCTAAGCCTGTAAAGCTGTTTCATTCCACAATATTCTTCTTAGACAGTGTTCTAAGCAGTCACTATAACCTGAGCATTATTCAAAGACAAGAGTCAGGTAATTCTACTCTTACTTTGTTTTCCCATGGAATATATTATTCTTCTATGTCTTTAGTGCTACTCTGAAATATTTAATATAGGTTTTGGGTAATAACTACCACCTAATTTGATATGAATATTGACAAAGGCACATAAACAAATATGTGTGCATTTAAACATAGAACTATTTTATAGTTCTTCTTAAGTATAGAGATTTTGAAAAGATTCAATGTTCTTCTTCAGAAAATAATATTCCTGTGGGATTATTCAAATGTTTATTTACTAGGATGTCTACTGCATCACTTTTTATAACAGTAAAATAGCTGAATGTAGCAAAATATATAATAGGTCAGATAAAGTGATACAATGAAATATATAGCTTTTGAAAACAGTAGTATGAAAGAATGCTAAAGGCATACAAAAATATTCACAGGATGCTGCAAGACAAAAATAAGAAAAATGAAACCTGGAGCCATGTCACACATACACACACAATACTGTGTGTATATATTTACATGTGCACATGTATATTTGTGTTATAAATATATGTATACACAGATATATATATGCACATATATATCATTATTTGCAAGATGATCTCAATTTTGTTTCCTCTGTATATGAGTATGAGTGTATCTCTAGATACACAATAAATGTATCTATAAGTCAAGTATAGAAGAAGTCAGACAGAAAAGATATTTCAATATTAAAAATTTATCTTCAGAAAGTGATATTCTAGATTCTTCTTTGAGCTGTTCTGTTTATATAAAAATTTTCATTTTTCTCATAAATAGAAAAAAGTGATATGAAATATCACTTACATCATCTGGATTTAATCAGATGTGCATTAATGTGAACTCTCAACCTGGTAAGGAATCTATTCTGAGGGACTAATGCCCAACATTAAATATTTTTGATTACTCTCCTGGGTAGAAGCAATATTTAAAAGGTCAGGACATATTGTACTTAGACACATTTCAAAAGTAGAAATCAGAACAGCCTTTTGGGTCCTCTTATCTGCGGAGCTGGGTAGGAGTGAAGTTGAATCCACATGACTCTGGAATACCACGTTGATTCAGTGCCAGAATAGGCAGGAACTGAAGTACTGACCTACTACAAAATCTGCCTCACATTGCCATTGATTCTCTCCAGCTTCAACCCTGGTGATATTTGGGATCACCAGTAATGTGGAAGGATAACAAGTGCAAAATATACACAACCTGGCCAGAGTTCAGGTCAAAGTTCCCAATACATATGTGCTCGACCTGTTTCAATGTGGCACCAAGCAGGATGACCAAACCTCCACCCCAGTGAGCCAGGCAGACAGCGTGAGGTACACGGAATCATATGTAATAAGTCCTTATTGCAGGGCAGCAAGAATAAAGGGAAGCAAAGTTTCTTCCCCCACAAGGTTTATGCCTATTTAGAGAAACATAGTACTTGCTTTTAAAGAGGGTAATAACACAAATGGCAGGCCTACCCTATACTGAGATCAGGACAGGGAGAGAAGGAAGTCTTACAGTTAGAGATAGATCAATGTAGAGGTTTTAAGGAAGGACATTCTGCAGCATTGCAACATAGGCATTTTAAAAACACAGGTTTTTTTTTTTTAAGCAAAGACATACATGTAATCACTTGTAACTCTAAAGATATTTATCAAGTCTTCTAAGCTTCTGTTCTTCTAGGGCAATTTAAGCATGCATTTGGCATTTAGATGAAAACTATATTTGACCAAATGTAGAATGTCAGAAGGTTAATTAAATGTTCATTCAGTATTTCAATTTATTTTCTATTTACAAGACAAAGAAAATTGAAATGCAAAAGAAAAAGGAGGAGGAAGAAAAAAAGCAATTTGGCAAGATCAGTTTTGCTTCTTGCTTTTATTACACTAAGACAATGCAAAAGTGAGAAAATGTAGACAGACCCATCTTCCTTTTATTCTGATCTAAGGTGCATAGACTGGAAACTAGAGACTTCTAGCCATAGGTTATTTTTCTCAGCTAAATTTTATATTATTCCTGAGTAGTTCAGTAGAACTACTGTGAGTAGTTCACATACCAGGTTCAGAACTGCAAATTCTCAAACCCGTACTCAAATCACACAAAACAATGCCCTTACCTGAAAGAGAGAAATCTCCTTTCTGGCTTTCACTTTCTCTGATTAGGAAGGCACCAGTCTGATTTTCTGAATATAATAGTTGTTTTTCTGCATCTGCTCTTTTGATTGCGCCAAAGAACCACCTAAAAAGAGAGATATGTAAACCTTAATTAACTGATCAACATTCCTTTTCACAGGTTTAAGAAGCTTGGCAAGAAACTATTCTAACATCACTAATGTTTGCTATTCTTCAATGAAATTATTATAGATATAAATGGTAGCTTTTGACACTTGAAATGATTTTTCAAGATGTCACTAACCCACACCAGAATTCATAAAAATAAATTATACAGTAGGAATTTGGCTGAAGCCTGTTCTACATCCCTTCTCACCCTTGCCTTCTTTCCACAATTTTATGTCTGTGAAGGCCTTTCCATGTAAGTTTACATGTTTCAGAGTCTAAAATTACACATCACCATTAAACTGTCCACCACCTCACCTAATACTCTTAGATATTATGAGGCAAGTATTCCAATTAAATGATTCATGTGCTTCACATTAAAGTACAAACATAATTCTTTTCTTTTCTCACCTTCATCACTACCAAAGCCTACTGTAATATGACATGATGATATTTAGGAGGAAATATTAATATAAGGGCAAATTTAATCAGTAAAGAGATTATGTGATAGCTACTTCTGCCTGAGAAGTTTCTTTTTGTATCACTCCCATCTCTTATCTTACCCCTCATCCTTCTAGAAATGAGTCAGATACAGGACACACAAGTTTGTGAATGTGATCAACTCAACAGAGTTACAGATCTTTATATCAGAGCAAGTCTAAAAGTACACCAAGTTGGTAGGAACCAATGTAATTTACTAAGAGGGCACAGAGGATGCTGGCTTTTCACAAATGTCTCCTCACTGTAGTACCATAGAGATGATCTTTATTATTAAGGATGTAAGGTATAAAACACTGATCTTTTTAGGTATCTTCTTTATAAATGTAAATACTCAGGAGAGGAAACACAGGCTTGAGAAAAGTAATACAAACTTTGAGAGGCAATGCAGGCCTTCAAAAGTTAGCTCAAATTTGGCTGACGGGTTATGGGTGTTAGAAAATATGAGAACACAAAGAGTGATGCAGATAGAAGGAAGTTTGGAGAAAAGAACTGAAAAGATAGACATTAGACTATAAATACTGCCTTCTAACAAAGTGTTTGCATACCAATTATCAATTTGTAAATTACACACCATTAACTATCTCAGGATATTCCAGGTCATGTTGGAGGAAGGAGCAACTCCAAAAATCTCAGTGATTTAAGACAATAAAGAGTTATTTTTTTTTCACTCAGCTGAATGTCTATTAAAGATCATCTGAAGCTCTGCTTTTTGTCTGCCTCACTCAGGGAGCTTCTCTCTCCATGATTCCATGACGCTGAGTCAAGATTGGAAAATGGGGCAAATCACAAGCCGGTTCACAAAGCTTCAATTCATAGCTTCTACTCAGGAATGAACACTTGGGCAAGTAAGTCACAAGGTCATGCCTAAACTCAAAGAGAGTGGAAAGTACAATCCTATCATTTCCAGAAGGCAGAGAACCAGAATGCACTAATGGCTACCATAATGATTTAATGTCTGGGCCAAATTGATGACTATAGACTATTGTTAGGCCAAATGAAACCATGTAAGGCATGAACATTTATTCCAAAGTGCCATGCAATGAAGCCACAGAAAAACGGCATGCAAGTTTGCTAAATCATAATTATTGCACAAATCAGAGAATACTAGAACATAATACTTAAAAAAAAAAAACTCAAACAGACCCAAACATGCCATTTAGTAATAAAAAGATGGACTATTCAATAAATGATGCTGCTACCATCAGTAGTCTATATGAAGAAATATATAGATGCCTCCTACAGCATACAAAAAAAATTTCACATTAGGCTTTTAAAAGGGAAATTGGAAAACACTTGGAGGACATTGGACTGGAGAAAAAGATGCACAAACTTTAAGGGAAAAGATCGATAATATATATTGCATCACAATTTAAAACATGTGTACCAAAAGATTACTATAAAATAAAACGAAAATACAAGTCACAAATCTTTGAGAAAATATTTATAAAGTATATAACTAAAAAATAGAGCTAGTATTCACATTATATTGAAATCTATAATCAATAAAACACAAAATAGTAGGAAAATTGGCAAAAGATATAATTGGACAGTTTACAGAAATGGAAAGCCCAAGTAATTAAAAAGAGGCACAGCCTCTATCTATGCCAGTAAATTAGATATTTTATATGAAACTGCAATGAAATACAAATTCACACTTTTCACACTATTATTTATTGGAGAAAAATGTGAAATAAGAACATTTACACAATACTAGTTGCCACACAATTTGGTATAACTAATTTAAAAAGCAATTTGGCAGTATCCAGTAAAGCTTAATATTCATATACTGTTCAATTTCACTTCTTTATTATATGCTATGTGTGCTCAAGGAGATATGTATCAAGAACATTCACTGAAGAATTCTAACATTGACAAAGTTGAAACAAGGGCTGGGGGCATAACTCACAGGTAAAGCTCATGCCTAGCTTTCACAAGGCTTTGGGTTCTATACACAAAACCAAATAATAATAATAATAAATTGGAAACAACCTAAACATCCATCATAGAAGAGAATACATAAACTTGGTCATGGATATTAAATAGACTATTACATGGAAGTTAAAACAAATAAACTGTTCAGGCACAAAACAATGATTGTATTGGTGGAAAACCAATACATACAAGCCAGGCACAGTGGTGAAAACTGTAATCCCGGCACTCAGGAGGTTGAGACAGGAGGATTGTGAGTTCAAAGCCAGCAAGTTTCAGGCCAGCCTGGGCTACAGGGTGACACCACATCTCAGTAAAATCTCCCTCTCTCCCCCAAAAAGATAAATACCATTGTAATATCTTTTAAATGAAGTTTAAGCAAACACATATTTAAATTGTACGTATTTTATATGTAATAGCTACCACAGTGATTCATGCTTAATGAAAGCTAATAGTTAAAATATCCAAGCATTCTTTTGATTTCATTTCCAGAAGTGGTAAAAATTTCTTCACACAACTATTTCAGGCAAAGAAGCCACATGGATAAAATAGACTGATCACCTCAACACATCTTCCTGATTCAAAGGACATTGATTATGTATCAATATTAAAATGTTTAATAAAATGTAAGTATGTAAACCCTTATAAGAACTACCATTTATCAAATAAGTTATACTTTAAAATCATGATTATATCTTCTATATTTTATTTTCAAGCATAAATTCCTCATTATGTATGTTTAATGTCCATAAGTTATATTTGTATTATATTTGGAACATCTAGTCTCTAAATGATGTATTTCTTCTACAGTTTTCGTGAATTGAATTACTAAAGAACAAAGCAATTTTACATTTGTAGTACACATTTTTTTAATCCTATCCTGTCTCAACAACTTTGGATTTTTGTAAAATGGATACAATTGCTTAACAAGGTAAATTGCACTAGTATTAAATCTGTACTAATGATGAAATGGACATAAATATTTGACTAGATGCATCAGTTCATTTCATACCTAAAATTTTGGTTGGCTGCGTTCCCATCAGGAACTCAGGGAAGACTATAAATAAAAAATTCTTTTCTGGATTTAGCATCATTGTAATGTTATCCTTCATACTCAAAGATGACGCATTTGCTATGGATTGCAATCTTTAGAGCATGTGATGCTATCAAGACTAATGGAAAAACAATAGCTTTGTTCCACCCTTTTGCACCTGTGAAAACTGTTCCTTAATTTGAGGTCTGAAATGTTGGCAGAACTGTTTTTCTCATCAGTTCCACCTTTTAGAGACCCTCCTGGCCCATTGTGGAAAGATATGAATATTCTAGGCCTGATTGTTCACCACAACCATTTTCAATTCTTACTGGTTTTGTGGACAGCAAACAGTGAGTGACAAAAAAATTATCCAGTAAAATGACACCACACACACAAGCAAACACATTTTATTGCTATATAATGAAAATAATCTTTATTGCTCTACTATACTATTACCCAGAGGACATATTGATTAATAATAACCAAGAAAATAAGAAATCTATAATAACCTATATCTTGGGGGAAAGAAATGTTCTGTTAGATAAAAACGGAAGAGACACACGCCTGGTTAGAATAAAAGGAGTATGTGATTGAAGTCTAGAACTTATTTTGCAAACAATCAAGTGTCTACTACTGTGTGTAAATGTCTATAGCCCTGACCTAGAAATATCTGTACACCACTGTTGGATGACAAAAGAATAAGAATGTTGTAGTTCTGTTTATATTCTAAAAACCAACAGACTCCAGAACTTATGTCTCTGAGATTAGTGGGAGATGATGAAAGTGATGACAGAGGACTTTTAATTTTAAATCTGCATTCTTCTCCATAATTTGTGTGTCTATAATAATGTAGTTATAGACCACTTTAAAATTGACTTAAATGTAAAAACCTAAAAGTTGTCACTCAAGAATATGCTACAAAAACTACATGCTGTAAAAGTCTGCACTAGGAAAGGTAGCAATTAGAATTGATAGAAATAAGAAAAATCCTGGAGTGTGGACAGATGACTATTGGTGAGCAGTGAAACAGACAGAAGATCCAGCTTTCAAGTCTGAATGACTACAGTGCAATAAGTCCAGCAACTCCTTAGAAGACTGAGTAACATTAAAAGCAAAAGTATCTCACTACGGAAGTTGCTTTAACTTCTCATGCCTCAAATTTCTCCTTTGCAAGAAGGAATAATAATTATCACCTCTTAGTCTTGTTTCAAAGTTTTAAAAACTTTTTGATGTCTGAACACACTGTATATCAAACTATTTGAAAGGAGAAATGATAAATTTGTTTTAGACATGTTGGATTTGAGATCATGATGAAACACAAGCGACTATATGAACATGATTTTATTTCTGTTTATATTGAATGTTTCTGCTTGCCATTCTTGCCTATGACATGCTGCCACCAGGTGGCAGTAGGCCATTTTACTTATCTAAGGAGACAAAATCTGTAGTATAAACTAGAAGTTCTGTATTTTACAAAAAAGACAAAGTGAGCCTTAAGA